TAAATACTATATCTATTTGTACTTGTCAATAATCTTATCTAACTATTTTGAAATACTACTAAATGAATTAGATGACAATAAACAATGAAAACCAACTCATTTACTTATTTTATTGAATTTAATATAAAATATACTACATAGACAAATGATAGTAATACATTTTATTTTTATGATTATTATTATCAATTAAATCAAACATAACCATTTTGATTTGATTGAAGTAATAATCAACGATATTCATTATGTTTTAATACCAATTCTTTTACCTTCTTTATGTTTTTATGTTCAATTTTTATTTCTTTAATCAATCTCATACTTTTTTGAAGGTATTAGTATATTGACTTAAATTAACACTCCATTTATTTTGACATTTCTTATTTTTCTCTTTCTTGGTTCTATTCTTTATTCTTTATAAACATTTCTTTTCTTCAATCGTTTCCATTGTTATTGTGATATGCAACAATATTTCTATCAAATAATCAACTAGTTTTATCCATTTCTCTAATATCTGTATTTTATCAATGTCTTTTGTGGTATTTTCAATCGGGTACGAAAATTAGCAAAGAAAAAATGCATCTAAATAATTTACAAAAATGAAAAAAGATGCAAAAAATTTTACGTCATTAGAATATTCAAATTATTATATTTTGCTCCTAAAACAAATAAAAATAAAAAGTATGATAAATACAGAATATGTAAATATTTATGTTTATATTTTATAATCATTTATATTCTGTATGAAATATTAATGAAATAGATTATTTGATTATTCATATTTATTTGTATTTTTTATTATTTTTATTATTTTATTTATTTATATCATCTGTTTATATTATGTATATCATTGTATTCTTCTTATTATCTATATATTATTATATTCTTCTTATTTGATGATTTTGCTATTTATATTATTTAGATTTTCTTATTGTTATTCTTTTATATTTAAATGTATTTTATTATTTGAATATTCATCTTTTCATCTTTTATATTATTATCATTTATATCTATTTTCATTTTATATTTATTCTCTTTTTATTTATATTAATATTAATTTTATATTTTATACTTTTTATTTATTATTATATCATTGATTATCATTTCTCGTTTTATTTATCATTTATTCTTATTATTCTTTTGTTTTTTCTTTATTCTATATCATATATTCATATCATTTTCATTTATATTTTATCACTTATTACATGTTATAATAACATAAAATATATTATTGAATATATAATAAATATCATAATGAAATTATACATATAAATAATAACATAAAAAGAGTAAAATATTTTTCATCAATAAAATAATATTAATTATTTTACATCATTAAATTAGACACTTTTTATTGAATATTTCTAATTTTTACAATAAAAATACACTTTTTATTTCTTCTTTTCTTCTTTTATTACATCTTTGTGATTTATTATTTTTATATTCTTTCTTCTTATACTTTCTTTTTATTCTTTTATATATTTTTATTCTTTTTATATTATTTGTTTTTCATTGTTGTTTCTATTTGTTTCTTCTATTATTTATCAATTTTATATTCATTTATTCATTATTTTTATTTCTTTTTTATTAATTCTTGAGTATTGTATATTTCTTTAATATTTCATTTGTATATTATCAAAATATATGTTTTATTGATTTTATGTTGAACAAAATATTGAATAATTCAATATTTCCATTCTTAATTATTCATTCTTTATTCTGAAATGTTGTGTATATTTATTATATTAAATGAATATGTTGAATGAATATCAATATTATTGTTTATTTGATTTTAAAAAAATAATAAATGAATATGAAATAATAAATGAAATAAAATAATGAAATAAAATAATCTAATATTGAACAAATCAAATAAAGAATATATTGAATATATCATTAATGTTACTTTATTATTTATTATTTCAATTATTAAATATTAATAAATTATTATTCATGAATATTTAATTAATTGATTATTATTTTATAATTTCATTTTCATTTTATTTAATAAATGAAATATAAATAATAAATGAATGAATAATAATTTAATATATGAAATAATAAAAAGAAAAGAAAGATAAATAATAAATAAATATGATGTATTTAATATATAATATAATTTATTATCAAATATAATAATAATATCAAATGATGATTTATTTTTATTTCAAAATATTTTGCATCCATAAAAATGTTGCTAAATATTTTGCATCATTAAATTTTGCATCATTAAATTTTGCACTTTTTTTATTTGTTTCAATAAAATTTGCATCCTTGATTTTTTTCATTCTTTTCTTCTTTTATCATCTCTTTTGTTTTATTACTCTTTATCTTCTTTCTTTTTATCTTCTCTCCTTTATACTTTTATTCTTTCTTCATCTTCTTCTACTTTTTACTTTCTTTTTATTCTTTTATATCATTCATTCTCTTCTTTTTCAATTATTTGCTTTTTTCGTTGCCGTATTAAATTGTTACATAAAAAATTAATAAATGATACATAAATATGAAAGTTAACACTATCACATAATGAAAAAGTAAATAGCAATTTAATACTAAATAATATCAAATTGAAAATAACACTACAGGTAATGATAAAGAATATCTTAATATCAAAAATAACGTGAAGTAAATTGAAATTATATTAAAACAAATATCAATTCATTCTCTTTTTCGTAATTTATATCATTTGTTATATCACTGTTATTAGAACATAAATACTTTAATTATTAATAAAATTATCAATAACATACATTATTAAAGTATTCAAATTCTTGTTATATCTGATGAAATGTACTTATAAGCTAACTATGAAAATCATGTTTTGCATGATTATTTCAATATAAATTAAATTCAATTCCTTTTTATTATTTTTATTTCATTACTTTATACAATTTAATAAATCGTCATTTCTTATTCTATAGTAAATAACATCATCTCATCTTTTTATTTGAAATGGTTGTCTCTTCATTTTTTTTTCTGAATAACTCCATTACGTTAATTTTTTACTTATATTAATTCACATTACTTCAATTCTTATTTTTAAATTGTTCATTCTGGATTTGTTTTGTTTCTCCTTGAAAAAAACTTTCACATGAAATATTGAACGGAGTTAAAACAATCTTAGAATATTGATATGTGCAAATAATTTAAAAAATGTTATTTTTTTGTTTTTTTTTTTATGAAAATCATAAAAAATAATTAAATAACATTTACATATCTTTTTGTTATTTTTTTTTTCTCAATTCAATTAATCCAAAGATGAATAAATTTCAAATAGAAATAACTAAAAATTAAAAAGAAATGAACCAACAACAAATACAACAATATAAAGAGGAACAAAGAAGGTTTGTTATAGTGTTAAAATACAAAACGACAAGATAATAATAAACTAGACAACAAGAAGAACAAAGACAACAAATTATTGATTCTGTTCTTGAACCAGAAGCAAAAGAAAGACGTTTGTAACATTCCTTATATTTCATTTAAAATGGAGATTAACAACAAGTTGCTAGTATTGCTCTTGTTAAACCAGAAAAAGCAAGACAAGTAGGTGATATGATTTTGATGATGTGTCAACGTGGACAAATGACAGGAAAAATCAATGAGGGTGGATTAATTTCAATGATTGATCAAATCAATGAAAATAAGACTGAAACCAAAGTCACTTTAATGCATAAAGGAGATGATGACTTAGATGATATTAATATTGATGATCTTTAACTTTTTTCATTCATTTTTATGAAAGATTTATTGTAATAATAAGAGAAATCACAACTTTTCATTTAAAATTGATTTATCCATAAGAATAATCTTCTTTTTAATGATATGATAATATCAACATTGTTCAGATGAAAAGAAAAACACTTTCAATCTTTTTCAATAAAAATAAAGAACAAATCATAAAAAAGAGAAAAACTTAAATAAAAAACTGAAAAAGAGAAAAACAAGAATGTTACCTTACACTGAAAACATTATTCAAAAACCATCAGAATATACTTACTTTAAATTTAGTCAAAAAACACAAGAACGAATATACGAAGATGAACAAAACCGAATTCTTATTGATGAAGAGTCTCTTCCATCAACAGCATTTTTCACATTTTTTAATTCTCAAAACGTTGTTAATTCAGTCAACTTTAGTGATGACGGTCATTTAATATCAGTTGGATGTTCAGACTCATCAATTCGATTATATGACTTTAAAAAAACACAAGTTGTGAATGGAATGAACCCACAAGCAAAATTACTAGGTCATTGTGGTCCTGTGTTCAGCACTAATAACTCACCTGATTTCAAATGGCTTGTAAGTGGTTCAGAAGATTGTTCAGTAAGACTCTGGTCATTAGATTATCCATCTTGTATCATGTCATTTAATGTTTGTATAATCTTGTAATAATAAGTTCTATAAACAAAACCCATTCATTCATTAGGAACATGATGGACCAGTCTGGGATGTACAGTATTGTCCATTAGAATATTATATGTTAAGTTCATCATATGATAAAACAGCTAGACTATGGACATCTAAACAAAACAAAAGTGTACGTATATTTGGAGGAGATGGTGGACATAGTGAGGATGTTACATGCTCTGTATTCACACCTGATGCATTGATGGTCATCACAGGATCAGCAGATAAAACAATAAAAATATGGGATGTTGGGAAAGGAAAGAAAATGGCAGATTTAACAGGACATGATGCTAGTATTACTTCATTGGCTATTAGTTCAACAGGAAGATATCTTGCATCAGGAGATGAAAAAGGGTCAGTTATTTTATGGGATATTAAATATGGAGAACATGTTAAGAAAATTAAAATGTTGAAAACAAGTAATCAACCAATTATTTCTATGGCATTTTCTAATGCAGTGTCTAAAGAAAGATGTGATGAGTTTGTTTTTTTTTTATTTAAGTATAAAGTTAAAATGAATAAATTTTATTACAGAAAGAAGAAGGAATTACTTAAATGTAGTATCATTCTTGTTACTTGTTGTAATGAAAATTATATTAGTCTTTGGAATATTCAAGAGGCATTACATGAGACAGAAAGTAAACACAAATTAGCAATGAATAGTGCAGATAATTACTTGATTAAACAATATAATACTAAAGATACTCCAGTCATTGATGTTCAATTCACACGTAGAAATTTATTATTAGCAGCTGGTATTTATAATTCACCAGAATAAATCAACAAATGAATGGTGTATTGAATAAATGATTGTTCTTTGAAGAAACCAACTTGTTTAAGTCTTCAATAATACAAAAAGGAAATACACAGGATTATGTAAAGAAAAACAAGTTTAAAATAAAGAAATTTTACTAATTTTTTTAAATTTTAAAATACTATAATTAATAATAAAAATATAATAAAATAAAAAACACATTTTTCTCTAAAAAGAAAAAATAAAAAAAAGAAAAAGTAAAAAGAAGAAAACAGCAAATGGCAACCTCAGACGCTTTTCAAAAATCTTTGTATAAATATGAAGCCCCATGGACGGTTTATTCAGTTTCTTGGAGTAATAGAAACGATAAACCAAGAAGAATTGCATGTACATCATTTATCGACGACTATATTAATCATATTCAAATAGTTCAATTAAATGAATCAACTGACTCATTGGAGAAATCTGCTGAAATAGACCAACCATATCCTCCAACAAAAGTTATGTTTATGCCACCATCATTAAATCAACAAAATGACCTTTTAATGACATCAGGAGATAATTTACGTATTTATGAAATATCACCTGATTCATCTAATTTAAAATGTAAAACAACATTAAATTCATCAACAGAAACTTTTTCACCATCTACTTCATTTGATTGGAATACAATTAATATTGATCGTGTATGTTCATGTTCAATTGATACTACTTGTTCAGTTTGGTCAGTAGAAACTGGTCAATTAGTAAAAAAATTAATTGCACATGATAAAGAAGTCTTTGATGTTTCATTTGCAGCTAATCCTGATATTTTTGGAACAGTAGGTGGTGATGGGTCATTAAGAATGTTTGACTTACGTTCATTAGAACATTCAACTATTTTATATGAGTCACAAGGTCTTGTTCCTTTATTACGTCTTCAATGGAATAAATTTGATCCAAATTTCATAGCTACATTTGCTATGGATAGTGATAAAGTAATTATTATTGATGTTCGTCAACCTGCTATTCCTTATACTCAACTAAAAGTTCATAGAAATAGTGTTAATGCTATTTCATGGGCACCTAACAAAGCCACACAGCTATGCTCTGCAAGTGATGATCATAAAGCTCTTATTTGGGACATTGCACCTGTTGCTGAAGGAGCTGATCCTCAAGTATTACAATATGAAGCTGAGGCTGAAGTAAATAATATAGTATGGGCAACATTATATCCAGAATGGGTTTGTGCTTCTGTTGGCAATCAAATTCAAGCATTAAGAGTTTAACTTTACATGGTTTATTTTTATTTATTCTGTTTATTAATTTTGTTATAATCAAGAATCAATGAAAACCAATGAAATAGTGTTGAATTAATATTAAAGTCGAAAAGCATTGAACTATGCTTTGCAACATTCTGAAATGTTTTTAAAAACGAAAAAATGAAAAAATGAACTTAAATTGAAGATTTGTTAGATTTCATATGGGAGACAAAACTGATCAAGATGATAATGAATATACTAATCTTTATATTGGAAATATTCCTTATTCAAGTACAGAAAAAGATGTAAAGAATTTCATTCAATATGATGGATGTAAAATCACTATGGTTACAGATAAAAATACAGGGAAAACAAAAGGGTTTGCTTTTGTAGCTTTTGAAACTCATGAACAAGCATTAGAAATAAAGAACAAGTTTGTTATTGACAATAACCAATGAATATTACATTGACAGAACATTATTATATGAAAAAAAAGAATACTGAAATAATATCTTAGGTTACAGGGAAAAGAATTGGAAGGACGTCCAATTATTTTGAAATGGGACAGAGGACTACAATCAAAAGTATCAGATAAAAGCTATAAATTGTTTGTTATTAATTTATTTATATTATATGTTCATAACTAATTGATTGTAGTGGATATCACAAACAACATGAATCCTCTTCTAGAAGAAGAGGAAGAAGTTATTCTCGCCATAGATCTTCTCATAGAAGAAGACATTCCTCTCGGTCAAGAAGTGATTCGTATGAACGACGACATCA